AACCAACTCCTTGTCGGCCTTTGCGTTTGGCTTCTTTTCTGCAGGCTTTGCATTTTCCTGGAAACCGGGCCCGGAGCTTTGATTGAAGGGAAGGCCACCCGGCCCCCCGCATCAAATGGAAGAAATGAGCATGTTTTGCAAATTGTCCACCGTGGAAAAAACTCGGCCCCCCTTCCGCGCCAACAGAAAAGCTCGACAAGAAAGCGCCCCTCCAAAACCAAAAGCGACCAAATGAGGCACCTTGGCTGAACAACAATGGCATGGAATGCCAGAGGTTCGGAAGGAGTGCCGGACAACTGCTTCGATCGCCTTTGGCTTAGTCCTCTCCGCTTTGACACCAGCATTGGTCAAAATCACGTTCAAATCCTTCACGGTCTTGGTGTTGAAACCTTGACGAGCGTTGGTGACCACCCTGTGCGCCTCCAAAGCGTCCTCCTTGGATACGAACGTATGAGATTGGCCTCCGATATCCAGACGCCATCTCTGCCAACCAGCATGGAACTTCAAAGTCTCTGGCAAACCAAGCGTTTCGCACTCTTTGTGAGACTCTGCCAAAGCATCCTGCAGCCACATATCTATATCTATATTTTATAACATAATAACAGCTATTTAGTGCCTCACATAGGCTCACATACAAGCAACCTATGTATATATCTGCACTTTTCTGGTGGGCATGTGTTTTCTGCAAAAAAAGATTGCAACTGACAGTGAGCTTGAAATTTCTTTTCGGGAGAAAGTGATGCCAGCGCTGACACTATTACCAATCCAACGTTGGCAACAATCATCCCATTCCCACAGCATTGGTGTAGGCCGGCGTGTCCCTGAACGCTCAAAAGCGGCAGGCCACTGGCTTCAGCTAGGGCCTCACCGAGTTTTCAATTGGAAGAAATATGTAGTTCAAGTTCACATTTCAATGTAAGAAATTGTTCAATTCAAAAAGGCTCAACCTGTACAGTTTGAGTAGACGTGTTCTACAACGCGGCGGCTTCCCTTCTTGGGATCCATCTTCAATATTCAATAATCCACCCCAACCTGGCCAGCCCTGCCCCAGCCATATTCCCGAACCGCAATTTGGAGGTGGTTGAAAGAATCAAAGCCTTGATTATGATGGGCAGTTAAGTTGCGGGATCAACTGGAAACCCATGAAGAGCCATCTTCTCAACGCCACAGAGCCATCGGTATTTTGATGTTAGCATGACCCGCGTTGTGGAAGATTTCGTGAATGTCGGGAGGCAGTGTTCGTTCCCGGCCATAAACCGCTCGTCTGGGTTTTGTTGGACGCACACTGCCCGGAGAGGGCGGTCGCAGGCAGGGCCTTCCATGTCCAGCTTGGCAAGGTAGCACTTGTAGTTGTCCTGTTCGTCCTTGCTCAAGGCTGGACGCCAATCATCCAAAGGGAGTTTCTCCAGCTCACTGCAAAACAGGCCGCAATTGGAATTGGCAGCAGATCTGAGCTCTTGCCGCAGAGTGTGTGGATCTTCCACCCAAACTACATCGTTCATTCCCACACCAGGCAATTTGCTTCGCAAGTGCTGCGACAAAGCTCTGTAAACCGCTGCAGGGTCATCGACCTGCGTGAAATATCCGGGAAGTACCAAGATGTCATACCTCAATGGGCAAACAGCTGTTTTCTCTTATCTTCCATTTGAACTGGCTCCACAAGCACCTCCTGACCAAAAACAAACTATATATATATATTAGTTCAAAAGCAAAGCCAAGGCTCGCGCGCTTCCGTGATACAGCATTCAGGTCGACATCAGATCCACTGGTCTCAATTCGGGCAATGTGAGTATACCCATAGTGACTTGCTCTCTCCTTCAAGTAGTCCAGGGGGGAAGCTCTGCACGTTTTCATGCAGCAGGAGCGGAGTCCTCTTCAAGCCGTGATGCTTTAGCCATATGAGGAAAAGTTTGTTCGAGATGCCATTCTCTTTCTCGGAGTTGCCCATGGAGCTGTAATGCACGCACATGGACCCCGAAATGTCCATCATTGTTGATGGAATCTTGCACCTACATCAGGTCTGGCGGCCATAAATACAAACACGCAGTGGTGTCAAATGGAAGAAATCAAAAATATCCAACGGTTTTGGGACTGAAGCAGTGGACTGTCTCTGTTTGACCCCCAAACCTCATAAGATGTCGCGAGCATAGTCCGGCGTCGTCCAGCTTGGCATTCAGCAGACAATCCCAAGTCGGCCCTTCTCTGTCCGTCATGTCACGATCGATCTTCGCTAGCTCATTCCTATTCTCAGCACTCAACAGCCGCAAGATGTCCACATGCTGGCAGGTGCAATATGGCAAATTCATTGCACTAATGGCCCTAGCTCGCGAGTTGATTTCAAATTGATAAGCAGCCTGAAAGGCGGATCCCGTACCCCCGATCCCCTTCCGAGCTTCACTGATCATCGAAAGCGCAACCTCTGCAGAGCCAATGCCGCTGAACCAGCTACTCACCGTCAAATCCATGCATTCCAAGAGCAACTTGGATTTTGCATTCTCTTGGCACCATGCTAGACCGTGGCGAGCCCATGTAAAGTGCTCAACCAAACTCTCAGGAGGTTTGGCCATCGCCGTCGCCGCCCAAATGCTTGAAATCTAGGAAATAAAATAGATCAAATGGAAGAAATGAAAACACATTGAAGAAATCCAGGTTTCTATTATATGCATCTATATAGGTAGACGGCTGAACTTCATTGGATCATTGACCAAAGCGTATATATGTGGACTATTTTTTTTGTCTTGTGTCTGCATGGCTCTCAGGACACCGCGCGAAGAAAAACAGTATATACCAAATGCACAGCTGCCATGATTTGGTTTCTCCTGTTCCAATTTTCTTTGTTCTCGATTGGTTTACTTATTGGTTGTTGGTTTGTTTTTCCTTTTTTT